CTCTCGTTCCTGAGGCTAGCGTGTCACTCCTGGAACACCCGCCGACGGGCGTTCTCTTTGATGAGATTCGTGGCCCTTGGGGTGACTACGCCCCCCCGGAGTCTAATGGCCTTGACCCTGGCGTACGACTCCACCAGGGCGTCGGCCACGCGCTCCGCCGGGGGGACCCCCGCGAGGACCGCTAGGACGTCATGTGACACAGTCCTGTATGCCCTTGCGATACGCAAAGCCAGCCGCCTCTGCACACTTTGCAGCTTCTGCCTTATATGGCGGCTGGCCAGGGCTTCCTCACTCCATACCGGGGCCTCATAGTAGGACAGGACTGCCCTACATGTACGCCCTTCTCACGCTATCATTCGGACCACGAAGGTTGGGCATCAGGCCGAGTAAGGCATCGGCCCGACGACCCAATCGTGGAGCTATGTTGTCGAAGTGATCGACAAAACCCCAACGACCATCCAAGGTGAGACCCAGGTATTTGAGATTGGATCCCACCGGGATACGGACTTCGTCCACCTTAACTGAGGCTTGTGGGGGCGCCCCGCCAGTTCCGTCGTGGAAGAACATTGCTTCCGACTTGGCGGGGGCCACCCTTAGCCCCAGTTCCTTTAGTGCGCCGACGACGCATGCCACCGCGATGTTGGCCATCGCAACGGCTCTTCTCCAGGTCGGGCTCCTCACTACCACGAGCGTATCGTCCACGTAACAGACTATGTGGCAGTTGGGGGGCAGGGCCGCACGGAGAACGGCGTCGTATGCGACGTTCCACAGCAGGGGACCCAACACTGACCCCTGCGGAACACCGCACGGCACGTCCCTCCGCTGCTGGAGTCCCGTCTTATCGTGGAACTCCAGCTGTCTATCCCGGAAGTAGTCCTCGGCCGCGGCGACCAGATAGGGGGACAGGAGGAAATGCTTCCCCAGCGCCCCCATTACCTGGCCCCACGACTGGCTATTGAAGGCGTTGGCGATGTCGAACGACACCGCCAACGCCACCTCCCCTCCCGCAGTCAGCCGCTTCGAGAGGGCACGGACCTGCTTGATCGCGTCTACCGTCGATCGGCCCTCCCGGAAGCCATACTGATAAATTGGGACCAAAGCAGGATAAATTGGGACCACCCCGAGACAGACACTGGACGATGCGGGCGGCGATGATTCGCTCAAGTAATTTCCCCACATCGTCCAGCAGGCAAATGGGCCTGTATGCGGAGGGGTTTTCCGCCGGTCTGCCCTCCTTGCGTAGGAGGACAAGTCTGGCCCTCTTCCACGACCTGGGGAAGACTCCTTCCTTGTGAAGAGCTGCCTCAACCTTTCCCCGATTACCGGGGCCGCGGCTGCCCAGACTCTGCCGGGCACGCCGTCCGGCCCCGGGGCTCAAGGCCTGTCCTTCAGGCGGGCGAAGGCGTGTGTTCCGAACCCGACGGTCGTCAATATAACATATGTTCATACATATGAATTTTTTCCAGAGTTGCAGCTTATGAGCTTGCTTTTATTTTCTTTTTGGAATTATTATATAATTTGCAAAATGAATATAAATAAAGTGATAATATTTGAGACAGTTTTCACAAGTTCTAGTTCAAGTGAGAGTGACGATGAAGATATAAAACTATTTCTTGATGAAAGAGTAAACGTCGAAAAATACCGAGAGTAAAATATTTTATTGAAACAGTAATACATGCATATAATAATAAAAAATTTAAACAACATTTTCGGTAAGTCAATATATGTAGTAAAGTATAACTATAATTGCTTATTTTACTTTCAACCTTATATATGATTTCTAGGATGAGTCGCAACACTTTTTATTTTATATTAAATCTTTTAAAACCATATTTGCTATCTGAGAAAAGTGATTCTGTTATTTCACCTGAAAAGCAATTATATATTGCTTTGTATGTATTAGGAACACCTGATTCATATAGGTAAATATATATTTACATATATTCTTATATTTATTTCTATAAGCTTTTTCTACTTCAAGCGAGTATTTACTTATAAATTGGATAAAGGAACATAAAAGTCAATTCGCCAGATATACGTGCAAGTGTATGATATATATGAAATAATTTCGTCGTGAATATACATATACAAACAAGATGACGCAAACGTTTCAACCTTATATTAGATTATCTTCAGTGCTTATATAAATTTTTAAATATGTAACGACGCTTTCTTAAGCGGTCGTTTCTTGAGTGGTCTGTTTCTATTTTTTCATTTTGAATTTGACGGCGTTTTAATCGATAATTGTAGGACTATGCGACTTAATCTTGTAAATAATCAATCAACTTTTCATTTATTTATTTATGTATACTGAAGAAGGTCTGATCAAGGTCGAAATGTCTATTTTGTTATCACAGATGTGTGTGTTCAAAATAAAATTTTAATCTCGCTACCAAGAACTTGCATTGTGGTGTGTATGCCCTTTATTTCAAGTTATTTTTATATTAAGACTTTACCAGCGCCGTTGCATATTAAAAAATTTATATAAGTTCTGAAGATGACCCAATATAAGGTCGACTCGTTTGCATCATCTTGTTTGTATATTCACGAAGAAATTATTTAACATACTTTTATACTCCTTTATCCAATTTATTTTGTGACTTTGTTCGGATAAATAATAAATTGTTTATAATTATTTATTTATCATTTTTATTTATGTAGATCTATTGTAACCAAGTTTGATGTAGGAAATGCTACAGCTTGGCGAGCCGTAAAAAGAGTAGTAAAAGCTCTGTGTTATTTTCGGAACTATTTTATTCATTGGCCGACATTTGAAGCAGAAATCTAGTACATGTATAAAAAGAAAATATAATTTTCCTGGCGTAATTGGAATTATAGATGGAACACACATTACAATTGCAGCTCCAAAAGAAAATGCGCTTGCTTATATCAACCGGAAAGGACATCACTCTATACAGTTACAAGTATATAATACATTATAAAATACTAGATTTTCATGTCGATTCTATTAAGAAATGATATACATTATTACTCTTGTTTATAGGTTGTTTGCAATGAAAAAAAAAGAGTTTATTCACTGCTACGCTGGAATGCCAGGATCAGTGTATGATATGAGAGTGTTTAAATATTCTGGATTGCAACAAAAATGCAATGACAATTTTTTTGATAATAAACACCTCATAGGCGATTCAGCTTATACTCTGCAAAAATCTGTTATGGTGCCATATAAAGACAATGGACATCTAACAGTTGACGAAACCAATTATAATTATGCTCTATCTGGAAGCAGAATGTTCGTGGAGCAGTTTATAGGTCTTTTAAAAGGACGATGGAGATATTTATTAGACAAATTGCCGATGCGAAGGACAGACCTCATCTTCTACTATATTATTGCTTGCTGTATTCTCCATAATATTTGTCTCATGCGAAGAGATGAGATTGAATATCCAGTTATTCTTCCAAACGAGATTGTTGAAGATGCTGGACCTTTAACTGTTACTCTAGAACAACAAGAAGGAATTATCAAAAGAGAACAAATAAAAAATTCTCTTGTGTAAATTTAACTGACAATTGTATTTTGTATAATAGCATATATTTCTGTTTCTATGTATTACACTGTCTAGCTAATATAAAAATAATTTTATTTTGCTTAGGATACATCTTTTTACTTAAAACATCAATAAAACGATAGCTTCTTTTAAATATATGTATACAAACTAAAAAAAATGTATTTCTTAATATATTTATATTAAATTATGTGTACGAACTAAAAAAAATGTATTCCTTAATATACCTACTTATAATATACTTATTATATGTCAGAATGAATATCATTGCTCTTTGGTAAACGTAAATCATTGGCAAAGAATATAAAAACAAAGTTAAGTCATAAAACAATAAATATCTAAAAATGAAACAACAATATTTCTTTCTTTTAAATTAAATTACAGCTTTTTTTTTAATATCTTTGAGAATTGCTAGTTTGTCTTCTTTATATTTTTTGTCAATCTCTAACTTTTGCTTTTTTAATTGTAAAAATTGTGCCATATAATCGTCCTTATTTATGTTACCACGTTTTGAACTTCCTGAAAAGTTTGTTATATTTGTATAAAATGTAAGTTATTCATTTTTGTTAAATGAAGAAAAACATTATTAACCTGAAGACGATGATTCTTCATTTAAATGATGCCCAAGAGGCTTGCTGGATCCAACAGTAGACAAAGGCTGCATCCATGGCGTTTTAGCGAATATTTCACATAAAATCTAAATAATAAAGATGTAATGAAATAAATTAAAATGTCAAGAATATAATAGTTATTATATATCTATTGTATTTACATCATAATGTTCAATTTTTTTTGGTGCGTTTCCAGTTTGGCGATTATGATCACAACATTTCTTATAAGCTTTTTTTAAACT